CAAACACCATGACAACAAAAAACAACAACAACAACCAAATAAACTAACAAACAAAACAAAAAGCATCCCCCCGCCAAACCCCAACATACCTGAACCCCCCAGTATATGGAGGCGATCAGCCAAGGCAGACCCAGGCCCAGGAACACGTTGACAGAGTTACTGCCGTTGACGTTCCCGACCGAGCTGTCTGCCGTCTTCTCCATCACCGCCGCAGTCTTACTGGCAAACGTGTCCGGCATACTGGTCCCCAAGGCCACGAGGGTGATGGCCGTGATGCTGTCCTCTAAGCCGATCAGGCATCCAAATATACTGGCAAGATCACCAATGATGGCAGTCAGGAAACCGATGACACCGAGGGAGACTAAAAAGGCGGGCCATCCCCCGACATACTGAGCAGGCGGGATGAAGGCAAACAATACCTGAAAAAAGAAGAAGAAGAAAAGAAGTAAGATAAAGGAATGATGAATAACATTTTTCAGTGTTAGTACAGTATTTCTGTCAGGGTTAGTACAGTATTTCCTTGAATAGTGTAAATGTAATGTTCTAGAACCTCTTTCGATAGTGGAAAATGCACGATGTAGAAAATATTTTTCCATTACGTATTTTATACCTTAATAAACCCTCCTTGCACTCTTATAAATCCCTCCCATATTCTTATAAACACTTTCTTTATTTGGAATATGAAAAACCAGTGGTATAACCCCCCCCCCAACAATTCTGTTGTTTGTTATTGGTTGAGTTATGGCCAATAGTGTGTCCATAAAGCTTTCCTGGATTTTCCTATTTCTGGCTAGAAAAACTTTAACAAACCTCGCAATCTATAGAGTACGCGAAATGTGAAATGGAACATTGCGAAGAAATCTGACACACAGAGGCTTGCATGAGAATGAAACGCTTTTTGGTTTGAAAGAAGGATAGTATTATAATTATAGCTAGTTGCATCCATGACAAACATATATTTAAAAACTGCACTTATATGTTTCTTGGGAGAACAAATCCATTTTAGCTGCACTTATACAATCACTTTCAGAATTGGGACAAGGCACATATTTCAAATCTGTTCTTACTACCCCTGACATTTGTGAGGCAGCGTGGGGGAATCAGGCTCTCGTCAATTTTTGGCCATGTAGAGTTATCGGTATCATCTTAAAGTTTGTACACCTTTCTTTATTTGGATGAAAAAAATATCCATTTATCTTTCATACAAGTCGAGATATTTGCGAAAGAAGGAGGTCACCTGTTTTCAGAGGTAAAATTAGTGAGAAAATGGCCCCCAAAGATTATTATTTCCTTAGCTGAAGAGTCTGTGGTAACTTTAAATTTTCATTTTTGTGCCTTTAATCGACCTTTATTCAGAAAAAACCACCCAGAAATGAGTTCTTTAATGGACATGAAAGATGTTGAGCCAAAAAATAAAAAAATAACAATTCAAAAGCATGCGGAAAAATGCGCATTTCTTCCCTTTGATTATTTTGACGAGAGCCTGATTCCTCCACGCTGCCTCACATTTAACCAAATGTAGGATATCAAAATACATCTGCTAGAGAACCAAAAGACAGTCACAATTTCCCTGAAAATTAGAGGTAGGCTAAACAAACAAGAACCCTCAGTATATTATCGACTGCTCAACGGAAGACTCAAGAATCCGGCGCTCGTTAATTTTGGGGCATGTGAAATTATTGGTATCGTGTTAAGGCTTGCTCATTTGTCTCACTTTTGATAGAAAAAAGAAACAACAAACAAATCCATCTGTCTTGAACAGAAGTCGAGATTTGGGTGACTGAAGGAGGTGGAGGCCCCCTGGTGTCAGAGACAAAATTAGCGAGAAACAAGAATCCCCAAGGTATCGGCCGCTCAATGAAAAACTCTGTCATATATTATTTATCAAAGGCGGATTCTCACACCAAGCAATCAATATATGATTTAAAAATCATTCAAGTGAGACATTTAAAATGAGAAAAACCAAGTCTTACCTTCCAAAAGAAAGTACAGAAATGCAGGATGTAATCTATGAATGATGCGGTCTCAAGGTCTCCTCCGTTGACATTCATGGCTTCGATAAACTGTTGGATGTACGTTGTCTTGTGGAGCTCCAGAGCGTCCAGGTTTGCCTTCGTCATGTTCAAGATGCGGCTGACAAGGCCGTTGAACTCTGGGGAAATAGAATGACAGGATAAGAATGTTTTATTTCTGTTTTTATTAATGTATAATGTTTGAAGCGAAATATTTGCTAAGTTCTGTGACGTTTATTTTAGCACTTTCGGAGAAGTAAAAATAAAATGTGGAGAGGTTTTCAGTAAAAATTCTAGTGGAATAGAAAATCGAGGTTTTTCTTGTCTTTTGAGGAACGTTAGCCTTTTGGGTGTGAGTTGTGCTGGGGAGCCGAGCGCTCTGTTTTTAAAAAAGTGAAGCGTGCTGACAAAATGAGTTACTTCTTGAATATGGAAATAGGTATACCACGCTTAAATTATAAGTATGGCATAGTAAAAGGCTTTTTATACTTAGAGAATATGGCATCAATAGAAAATGTACAAATTTGACCCTAGTGTTGATTTTTGGCCAATATCTCCATCTGTGGAATGCGAGAAGTAACTCATTTCGTCAGCATATCTCACAAATGGTAACCTATGAAGTGAGCGGGCTGTTAAAAATGACATAAACTAAATTGATTCCATACTGGACAAAGGAGCCGATGGCCCTGGTTCGAATCCTTAAAGAGGTATTCTTAACTTGGGTTGTTTGAGGGAGTTTTAAAGATTTTCCATCCATTTGGCTTGATCTTATAGGAGATATTAGGTTAAATGTGGAGGCCCCATCTGTTTAATACCCCAACTTTCAGTTTTGAAATGGATGTGAATCCTATACAACTTCACAGTTTTTTGAGTGTTCAAAGGATTGAGATAAAGAAACCATATGCAATTCTACCTCAGTATAAAGTTTTTCTTTTCCGATATAAATCACCTGAAACTAAGAGAATTTGCAAAGTTTCGAATAATGATTGCTTTGCAGGTGACTTCCAGGTTTACGGTTCTGAGTCAACCTCAGCTACCTTCCCCTTGTACACCTGCTGTGCTGTGTCAAAGATGCAGTGTCAAGCAACAAGCATACCTTCATCATTGACGATGGTGACGATGGTCTTGCTGATCTTTCCCAGGGTGGCGCCCCCGTCTGTCTCAGTCAGCTCAATCTGGAAACTCTCGTCCCTCTCAGTTTTCTACACAATAATAAAATGTTCGTAGCTGTTTAAACTTTACCAAAAAAAACAAAACAAAAACAAAACAAAAAACAACACCCCAAAACAGCAAACAAATTTTGTACTATGTGTAAGTTAGTACGGGAGATGTAATAAAGTCCTCTTAAAATGATAATGGGAAAAAAATTGTGGAAAAGTAAAACAATGAAGACGAATAGCAGAGTTTTCTGTGGGAAACATCTTTCTTTGACATACTTTGTTATGCCTTATAGTGTAGTCAATGAATTTTCATATCTCAGTAGTGAGGGCTCCAGTGGTAGAAAAAAGACCACGATAGGCCTAAATTAAAATTAAAATGACTTGCATCACACCTGTTAAAACTGACGACAAAATGAAAACTTAAGGCTATTGGCGACTGGTTAACCAGGTCCGTACGTCATGTTTTACTATCGTATCCATACGACGTGGGGAACTCTGTGTCCCCATTTTCCAAAGAGAAAATTTACTTGTTAATCCGATCCGTGCTCTTTGCATAGCAGTCTGTCAAAATGATTTTTAGAGAAATACTGAAAGTTTCAAAGAGATCTTCGAACTAGAAGTATTCTAAAATGTGAAGACAACCCCGAAGGTACAAAATGACCCTCAGGGTTAAAAGCAAGTTACTTTATTGTACTTACATTACTTTCAAACAAAGGGATTATGATATTCTTGGTGGTCTCTTGATTGTCGAACTTGAGTTCTCCTTCTTTGCCAGAGTAATCCTTTCCTTCCAGAGCAGTCATGTCCTTTGTCTTCCACTTCACAGACACGTGACCGTCCGCGCCGTTCAACCGCACAACGGGAAGCAAAGCCTTCAGACCTGTCTCCTTGATCACAAAACTTGGCTTAGCAAAGGCCAAGATACCAGGCTCTGAAAAGGGAATATGTGACAGTTTTAGTAAATTAATTAATTGTTTCCATTTTCCCATGTAGGCCTATTCTCGAAAAGCCTTTCTGTCAGTCTTTGATTTCTCAGTTAACTCTCTCGCTTTCTTCTTTTATAGTTAGGATAAAGACTAATTAAACGCCTCTCACTAGAACAGGAAGGTCTGCCTTCTAAGTGATTTTAAGTTGTTAGAGAAAGATTTACAAAATGATCAGTTGTTGTTATATCAAGAAAGGCTTGCAATTCAATCCTTTGCAGTTAGAAAGTTAGAATAATAAATTAAATCTCACAAAAACTGCTATAATCATTTTTTTGGGAGAGGCCCATCAATGTTTTTCTTAACAGAATCTGACTCTGTTATTTCTGTGACAATCTAAACAGATTACTTCTTGAGAAATCTGATAAGGTTAGACAATATTCTTATCTTGCGAGAACAAGATGAAAATATTGTTTCCGAGAGTCTGACACGATTATGTCTTGTTAATTAAGATCAGATATAATTTTTTCTTCTTCTGAAAGCAGATAAGAAAAGATTTTAAAAAAGAAGAAGTTATTGAACGTTTGTTGCATAGACAGACAGCAGCGCGTACCGTCGTCGTTGATGATGGTGACCTCACAGATGCTGATGTTTCCCAACACACAGTTGTCCTCGGGCTCGACCTTCAGTTTGACGAAGAAAAACTCATCGGGCTCCCACTCGAAGTCATCGACGATCTCAATGTACACCTCCTGCAGGGCTTCGTTCTTCTTGAAGTTGACGATTTTGTTGAAGGGTTTGTAGTCCTCTCCAGATATAGCCGTGCCGTTGATGGTCTCAACTCTGTTATATGGAGAAAAAACAAAACCCATTGATGATACAGTTGTATATGGACGAGTCGATGTCATCGGGAGAGTAAAAAAAAATCAGCTCATCCTATGTTCAACTCAGCCTTAGGGATCTGAAAAGAAGAAGAGGCGCTGGGACTCGACAAAAAGACAAATTTAACCGTAGATCAACTCAAGCGAGTTCGACACAATTATTTGGAATCCCATTTCTCCAAATTGTTTTCCAAGCAATAACCCCCCCCCCTCTCCCTCCCCCAGAAATTCATTCATTGATGGTCTACACTTTGTCATGTGGAAAATGGAAAAGCTTTGAACTAGAACCTTTGACCAAAGCCCGTTTTATCAGGAAACAAAGAATAGAACAATGAGATGGGATAAAATGTTTCAGCTGTTCTCTCTTTGTCTTTTGTTTCGTTTTAGTGATCGTAAGAGTTTTAGGAACCTTCAAGACAAAAAGGTCAGGATGATAAGTGTTTAAGAATAGGCTATCGGACTCGCAACCGTAAGGTCGTGGGTTCGAATCCCGTCAAAGACCCGACGTTGTGTCCTTGGGAAAGGCACTTTACACGAATTTTCCCCACTTCACCCAGGTGGGAATGGGTACCCGGCTATAGATAGCGAAAGATCTTGTCAGTTTGTTAGTGTTTGAGCGCTTAATCAACTGCTTGCACTGTATGCTTCCCGGGAAGCTGAGAATGTTTCTGGGTGTTCTATGGTTTGCTGGGGTAATAATATAGTGTAAAGCGCATAGAGCCGGCTGTTGAGTGGGGATATGCGCTATACAAATGCTATTTATTATTTATTATTATTATTATGTGTTACTACAGAGTAACATACACAATATAGAAGGAGGAGAAATTAGGACAACAGCTTTTTTAAAACTGGAAAGAAGAAGCAAAACACACCAGAGATCCCACCAACCATCTATAGTTTGTCTTTGAGCTTGGCCTAGGCTTTTGGGACAACATAAAGTTGATTTGCTTTAACATCAGGTCATCCTAAATAAAAGAGATCTCTTCAATGGAATTCAATTCATTCGTCAGTGTTCGAGCTCAAAGTTAAATACTTCAGCATCTTCCCTTAGAAGACTTTGGAATTAAAAGAAATCTAAAAGATGACCAGGAATATCAAAACGCTTAACACTATCAGAGCTTTCTACTCAGTCTTCTTCTAGACAGGCACTAATTTGAGGAGTTATTTGAAGGTTGCCTCGAACAAATAAAAGAAACCCCCGACCTTACAACAACCCCGAAACAACCCCACCACCCCCACCCCCCCAAAAAAAAAGAAAAAAAGAAAGAAAAGGAATTACTCTATCACTGCACAGCGATTGTTTTTCTTCTTCAACAGCTCACCCTCTCCACATCACGCACGCCACTGCAGTTTCGTCATTTCTATGTTATATATGCCACTGCAGTTTCGTCATTTCTATGTTATATATGCCACTGCATTTTCGTCATTTCTATGTTATGTATGCCACTGCATTTTCGTCATTTCTATGTTATGTATGCCACTGCAGTTTCGCCATTTCTATGTTATGTATGCCACTGCAATTTCGTCATTTCTATGTTATATATGCCACTGCAGTTTCGTCATTTCTATGTTATATATGCCACTGCAGTTTCGTTATTTCTATGTTATATATGCCACTGCAGTTTCGTCATTCCTATGTTATGTATGCCACTGCAGTTTCGTCATTTCTATGTTATATATGCCACTGCAGTTTCGTCATTTCTTTGTTATATAATATGCCACTGCAGTTTCGTTTTTCTTAGAGCGGCCCAAACACAGCTGACCCACCTGACAGAGACGGGCTTCCCCAGATGGCCTGTCCTCTTGATGCCCAGTCGGACCTTGCCCTCGTTCTCCATGACAGCCACGGCGGCCGCGGTGAACTGGACAACGGCATGTTTCCCGCCCTCGCTGTGGTCCACGTTGGTGCTCAGAGGGTCTTCCTTGGGCCGCTCTTCCTCCGGGATTTGAACTCGCTGGTACACCTAGAAGGGGGAGGGGGATAGAAGACAATGACACAAATGTCAGAGTACGTCACTATGGGGACACATATGTCAGAATACATTTCTAGGTTGCTTAAATGTCAGAATATATTTCTAGGCTGCTGACAAAGTCAGAATACATTTCTAGGTTGCTGACAAAGTCAGAATACATTTCTAGGTTGCTGACAATGTCAGAATACATTTTTAGGTTGCTAAAATGTCAGAATATATTCGTAGATTGACAAACATGTTAGAATATCTTGCTACAATACAAAATGTTAGATTATATTCTTAGATTGATAAAAGTGTCAGAATATATTCGTAGATTGATAAACGTGTCAGAATACATTCTTAGATTGATAAAAATGTATTCGTAGATTGACAAACATGTTAGAATATATTATTACTGCTATGCAAAAATGTTAGAATGAATGTATTTCTAGGTTGCTAAAACGTAAAAACAATTCCTAGATTGCTTAAAATGTCAGAATACATTCCTAGATTGACAGAGATGTCTGAATATATTCCTATGATGATGAAAATATGAGAATACATTCGTATGATGATAAAGATGTCAGAATGCATTTATGAAACTTATAACAATGGGTGAAAAGGTATTAATAAATTCAACGTACAACATTATTATGTTTAATGAAAACGTGACAGCTGCATTAACATTTTAAAGTGAAGTGTATAAAATATTAATATAGGATGAAAAGACAATTTGATGGAATGGTAAAAAAAAACCCCAGTAATATCTACATGAATGTGCCACAAAAAAACCTAACTAAGTGCACTAAGCTTTGAAGTGATTTGTCACAGACATCACATACAGAAGTGCATCAATTACCCTCCCAAAAATTATTTGCCATACGAGAAGTTATGCCCCTCAGTGGACAGTGGCAGACCAAGAGAAACCAGGCTACCTCAAGTATTCATATATTATTAAGTATAATTTATTTTGAATAGCCTGCACATGCAGATTTAGTGCCAATCAAAATTCAGCTCCAAACACGTCACGTGATAATTCAAGACAGCTGTCGTTCTGCTCTAGATAAAGAATAAAAAATAAAATAGAATCACAGTAATTTTTGTAACCTCTCTACTCGTTTTGAATATGGAACCAGCATGTCTTTCCCGGTCTTTTTTCCACTGTAAGGGCTAAGATAAAAACAAACTAGATCTAGACTAATACATAAAAAAGAAATCTACACTACACAACCTATCAAGTATTTGGTCACTTTTAAGCACAAGGGGGCTATCCCGAAAAATGCTGTTTTGAGAAAATAGAAGGTAACGTTTTTGCCCCTTGTTCAGTTTCTTTAAAAGACAAGAAGAGTTTTCTCTACAACCAAACGAATATACACACCACTAACACCAAACTTCTCCTATAGGTAGGGCAATGCCCACTTTTGGGGTGGGTTAAGCTTTCTGGAAACCCTAGGAATCTGGGTTAGCCCGCTTGTCCTTAAAAGCGATCATTTAAGGGAGAGCCACAAGGGCATGCCAAAAAGACTGCCGTCATCCAGAATCGTTGCTGCTTTCAACACAATTGGCTCCGTCTTTTAAGAGATGGACGTTAAACTTGGGAGGTCTCACCTCTCAGATAACCAAACTGTGTTGAAAGGGGCGTTAAACACCACACATTTTTTTCTTCTACAAGAATAATTTGTCCGACTTGCACTCATCTTCTCATCTATAATTTCTTCCACTTCCAGAACCTAAAAAAATAAAGGTGCAGAGAAAACGGTAGAAATGCATTCTTGATTCCTGTTACTAGTTCAAGAAGGAAACATTGTCTTTTATGTATCTACTTCTCATCTCAGGATTTCAGAGAGGTGGCGACTGATCCTTGCTGGATGCTGTTTACAGAAGCAGACTGGTGGCCGACATAGGACTGTCCCCGTGATTTTATGCCCCCCAAAATTCTTAAATTATGCAAACCGAGCCCAAAAATGTGAAAGTATGTGATTCTGCTAATTTTAGCAAAGAATGACAAAGGAAAATAATCAGAAATTATGTAAAAAATGATCAAATTTTGCTAAATTATGCGGGGTGCGTAAAACTCCGGGGACAGATTGGGATATTGGAAACCCCAGCCCATACAGTTGGAAACTCTGCTCCGGACGTGAATTCACATAAACTATGGCTGCTGGTGTTTTTCTGACAAATGAAAACATAAAAGTCGAGCTGAACTAAGCAGAGCACAAATAACAAGAACATAATATGGCATGGTGCTATTAAAAAAACCCAATATTAAAAAAATTAAAACATCACAATTGCAGTAAGGGAGCAAGTACAATAATAAAACAGCAATCTATCACAAAACAACGACTAATGAAAGGACTATATCAACATTGAATACGACACTACATCAATAGAAAAATACCTTGAACCAACTCTTATTCCATTGTGGGATTATATTTCTGTGTGATTTACATTTGACTTGAACCCCCCCCCCAACAAAAAACAACAACAACAACAAGAACAACAAAATAAAAATAGTTAAAACCTTCGACCAATGAATGACCCAAAAAAAAAAATAATTAAAAAACCCAGAAGCTGGAAAGTAGCTTATAAAAGCATTATTCAGAATCTTCAATGGTTAAACAAAAAACAACAACAAACAAAAAAAAAGAAAAAAGAAAAAGAAAGACAACGATGTTGGGTGTCAGCAGACAGACCAACACAGTACAGGGCCTAATGATTGCTTGGAACAAGGACAGCACAACAACAGAAACCCCACCCCTTACCTCCACCTCACACACCCCTTTGCATTAATGTGCTCAAATCTTTAAAATTTCTCTTTACATTTTCCCTAACCCTTTCCAGCTTTCCAACCTCTTGAATAGAATGTAGACCAGAGTAGGCCTTCCTCCCCGTACAAAAATGGGCCTATTATATTATTATAAATGTACTCTTTTAACTCAATCAGGACAGCTTCAGTACGAACGACACAAAACAGACTAAACTGATTCACATTGATATTAACATTTTCAGCCAGCAATGTTCCCTGGACCAGTAAAGTGAAGGCAACTTACACCTCTTTTTTTTCTACTGTGAAAAGCTCTGGGCGTGATGGTGATCAATTAGTTATTTCTATAAAAACTTTCCATTTCATTTGCAGAGATGATGAGAGAAAATCAAAATGACTCCGTCTCTGTTCAACAATGGGAATGATATCGTGATATTGTACAGCACTGTAATTTGAGTAGCCTTGGGCCGAGACACATTATTTGGAACGAAGTGGCAGAGCAATAAATGAGTTCAGGCTCGCAAGTAATGTCAAGCAATATCGATGACACTTCATCTCCATGGGTGGTCACTTCTGCTC